TCATGAATAATTATGTGTGTCAAATTCAATATTTTTGATAATTTTGTGTGTTTGTTTTATAATTTAAATTCTTAATTGTTAATTATTTATTTGTAAAAGTATATATATCTATTGGGTTCCAGGCTCGATATTTGAGGCCCAGTAGCACCAAACTATTATGAATAATTATGTGTCAAATTCAATATTTTGATAATTTTATATGTTTGTTTTATAATTTAAATTCTTAATTTTTAATTATTTAATTGTACAAAGTATATATACCTATTGGGTTCCAGGCTCGATATTTGAGGTCCAATAGCACCAAACTTCATGAATAATTATGTGTGTCAAATTCAAAATTTTGATAATTTTGTGTGTGTTTTATAATTTAAATTCTTAATTTTTAATTATTTAATTGTACAAAGTATATATTTTCATCTACCAGTATAAGAAATACTTAAACTACAGGGATTCTACGCTAAAATACTCTACAGTTTACTACGCTAAAAGGTTCTACATTTTACTACGCTAATAAATAATCTAAACTAAATATAAACAACAAATACATTTTAATCACATAACATTCACAAAAATACATATAACATACTAGTCTCGCAAATAAAACACAAAACGACATGAAAACACTAAAATCTAAATTTGGATATTAACAGAAAAATTATTTCTCAATTTTACATTTTTTTTAGAACACTAATATCAAAGTCCGGATAAATATAACATACTAGTTTCGCAAATAAAACACAAAACGACATGGAAACACATTCAAATCAACTAATATGCATTATTATACAAGTTTCGACATAAAATAAATCGAAATACCTCAATTTAGTATTTTCGAAAAGTAAACTTGCTGAAAATTTGAGTCCGAAAAAGTGAAACCACAATAATACGATGCTCTAGTACGATGTGGGACCTACGTTCTTAGCGTTTTGTGTGACGGGAAGGGCCCACAATTTATTTTTTTTTTAGGAACGAAGGGGTGGGGGACCAGACAAATGGAAAGGAGTAAAAAAAATGGGGAGGAGGAGTTCTGGTCGGGGAAGAAGAAGGGGATTATTTAATCAGGGTATAGCGCGGGGTATTTTGGCGCTATAGGTATAGCGTATGAATTCTATACGCTAAACCTGGCAGTCAAATCGTCAAAAGGTATATCGCCATTATTCTTTGCGCTATACCTTAACGGCAAAAGTTACCGTTAAGGTATAGCGCCTCCAATTTCGGCGTTATATATAGAAATGTATCTTCTTCTTTTTTTACACTTATTACGTCACAATAGTCCAAAAAAATAATAAAAAGGTTTCAGACTCCTCTTTTACAACTTGACCGTTCACCTGATTCTGAAAGTTCTCCCTAGTTTAAGCTATCGTTTGGCAATAGATTCCCAAATTTATTTTGAAAATTTTGATTTGGGTGAAGTTTGGTTTGAAGATGAAAATGTGTTTGGACATCAGTTTTCAAAACATATTTCCCAAATTTATTTTGGAAAAACATGAAACATGACTTATACCCACAAGTTCTAAAAACTATCCCAAATACCCAACAGTACCTTTATCAATAACATTCATTATATTATCGCAAACCATAGTCCTGAACATAAATATTTGATACAAAATTATCATTTTTATAATGAACTACATGATACACTATCAGATGACCGAGAATACGAAGCAACATTGTTACAAAATAACAAATGGTGGGCTATTTTATAAAATACAAAAGTTTGTGGCAATTTTTAAAAAATATAATAGTGATATCTTGGCCCAAAACCAGCTATTGAGATGGTTTTGGAATTTCGGATTTTACCAAAATATAGGCAAAATCTATTGCCAAACATGTGTTTGCCAAATAAAACCCAAATTTATTTTGGCAAAATCTATATCCAAACGAATCCTAGGTTTCATCTACTTACGCTATAAATTTAAAATTTGTTTTACAATTATTTACATTACCAATAGATTAAACTTAAATTCAGTTTTTTTTCTTTTTCTTCTTTCAATAAATAAATTCCCTCTTCGTTTTGTGATAGTTGGGCCTTTATCTCGAGAAGATGACTATGGTAATCGCGAAGTGGGCTTGGAGTTTAATTCTTGAGGAAACTACTCGCTGTAGCCCCTCAAAATTTCAATAGCCCGTATTTTTTTTCACTGACAAGAAATGACCCTCCGGCCCAAACATAATACATCTAGGGAGATTTGCATCTACACCCGCTTTTTGGGTTACGTTTTAACTTATGTCCGCTTTGCAAAAAAAAATTGCAAGCGTACCCACTTTTTTGCGTAACTTCAGCATACGGGGCTGAAGTAGCAAAGACAATCACGCAAAACTTCAGCATTCTAGTAGACAAGCCTGAAGTAGCAAAGGCAATACGCTGAAGTTTTTTTGTCCTAGATAAGATGCTGAAGTTATTTAGTTCATTTGTAAAAACTCCAGCACTAAAATAGCTGAAGTTTTTTGTCCTGGATTCATTAGTTTTGTCATAAAACTTTTTCAAAAACTTCAGCAGAAGATGCTGAAGTTATTTAGTTCATTTGTAAAAACTTCAACACTAAAATAGTTGAAGTCTTTTAGTTCCTAGGATTCATTAGTTTTGTCATAAAACTTTTTCAAAAACTTCAGCAGAAGATGCTGAAGTTATTTAGTTCATTTGTAAAAACTTCAGCACTAAAATAGCTGAAGTTTTTTTGTCCCGGATAAGCTTTTTCAAAAAATTCAGCAGAAGATGCTAAAGTTATTTGGTTCATTTGTAAAAACGCTATATAAGCTGAAGTTTTTAAAAAAGCTTTCTAACATACTAGATAAATAATCACCTTATTCTTTCATAGTGTATTACTATTATAAAATAATCAGATTGCCAATAATATCTAAATCATAAATTTTGGAAATAATAAACGTGAAAAGAACAGAATTACGTGGAAATATTCACAAATTATTGTCTACTAACTTACGTAATTATTTATAATTTATTTTTAAATAATCTGATAAACATACTTATGGCAATCATCCCATGAACTGAAGTTTCATAGCCGAACCAACAACAGCAGAAGAAGAAGAAGAAAACGAAGGAGGAGAAGGAGGAGGAGAAAGGGGGCTGAAGTTGTTTAAAAAGTGGGTACAAGTTAAAACTTTTAAAAAAAATGGGTATAGGTTAAATGGAGGCGACCAAATAGGGCGCCCCGTGCAATTTTTACATACATCTAATAGTCCGAAATGTCTATTTTATATATTTTTTGCATAATGACAATTTATTTTGTATAGTTCTATTTAGTATATATTTTGTATAGTCACAGTCTATTTTGTATACTGACAGTCTATTGTATATAAATTGTATAGTGGCAGTCTATTTAGTATATTTTTGTATAGTGACAATCAATTTTGTATATATTTTGTATAGTGGCACTTAAAAAATCCACTGCCACTCTTATAAAATAGACTGTCACTATACAAAAATTAAACAAAATAGATTATCACTATACAATTTATATACAATAGACTTGTTATTCCAAACTTAATTTAAGTGTGTTACTATTTTTGTTATTCGATTTTCAGAGCAAAATCTGAAATCACTTTGCATAGTTCTAGGATAAATTTTACCATTTTCTCCTGTAAAAAAATCCATATTGAAAAGTTTTTGCTGGTAGTCAGTAAGGTCAAGTTTGGCCAATTTAAGCAACAACAAAGTAATCTGACCTCAACTATTAGCGAGACGAAAACTGGACCATTTCACAAACTAATTATGTGTCATCTGAAAATGTCCAAACAATTTACTTTAAATTTCTCTAAGTAGATGGTAGAGTACGAGGAAGGTATTGATTAAAATAGGTAACAGAGTTGAAAAGTTTGAAATTTGAAGGGGGGAAGAGCGTCACACCTCCTTTTTTCGAAGAAAGGGAATTTTTCCAATCGAAATGAGATTATTTAATTTATTAGAGTCTCCACTTGGATTAATTATTGTGGTGTCCAAAATCACCAGTTTATTTTACAATCCTAAATTGAGAAAATTGACTCTATTTATGGTCCGCGAACACAGAAGACCGGATAAGAAATTCTGTTAATCCGGGAGAATGTGTGAGGCACTCCCGAGTTCTGTTGTTTTAGCACGGTCGCTTAACAGTAAATACCTGGCTTAATTATCTGATTTATTACATGCTTCAAACCTATTATGCATTTTTATCTTCTGACCGCTTTTAATTATTATTTGACCACTTTTAGTATTTATGGAATTTATTTAAATAAGTCGCGATATCGCGCACTTATTGTTTTTGTACACATTGCGAATCGCGTCACGTGAAATGCACCTCTGATTTACAACATGTTGTTTATTATTATTATTATTATTATTATTATTATTATTATTATTATTATTATTATTATTATTATTATTATTATTATTATTATTTGAAGTTGGGGTCAAGTCGCGTAAAACGCGCACTTGAGTTGAGATTTATGTATCATAAACATGCCACGGGAACCGTAAGTCACGATAAATTATTATTGATCGTGCCTAAAGAAAGCTACGAATGTTCAATGGTTGAGCAATTTCCTGTGTTTGGGATTTTTGAAGATCGCATAGTATGGTGAAGGAATTATTGGAGTCAAGATTTGATTTATTCATATGACTAAAGAACTTTTGTGCGTTCAAATCAATTCTATATCCGGTGATGGTTTTGATTCATTGATTAACGGTTGGGAATTTCACTGGAGCATACGCGTTTGGATTAACCCAAGAGATTAAAAACAATCTGTATGCAACACAATAGACAAAATACTGATTTCAACAAGTTAATACCAAGGAGATTAGTTTATTTAGGCCATTATCCTAGTGAGAATAGATAGGCCTATTATGGAACATGAACTCGCTGGGCCAGAGATCTGCCAATCAGAATAAAATTACAATGGGCCAACCTCCAAGGCCTAAGGACCTGAGGTGTTCGGACTTGCCTCGACTGGGCCGCCTGTGCAAGTCTGGCCCAACTCGTCATTTTTGCTCATACCAACACAAATTCTAAAAATGAACACTCTTCATGAATTGGGTTTAAGAATTGAAGTTTAACTACAATAAATTGAATCTAGATACAGCACCAAATTGAAATTGAATTTAACAGATCTAAATCATCTTATGGCTCGAAATTATTTATTACAAATACAGCCATTTACACGAATAAACAAATCTCAGCTCCTGTTCTTCCTTTTACTTCTCTATATCCTTCAATGATGTACTGACTTTAATCCTGTTCAACTACCCTTTTCCGTTCAAGTATAGAATGCTAAGTAGAGGCGAGAATTAAACCAAAACAGACTGCTTACACTTCAACAACACCATGCCCAATCTATAAATATATCTTCATTGAGTTCATAAGCACTTCATTTTGTGTTAAAAACTAAATTTAAAATCACTGAATCCAAACAATACTAACAGATGCATCAGAGATGAACCACGATTTCAGACATTGAACATATGGCAGTTATTTCATGCTAAAAACTAATCGAAGTGCATAAATCCAACTAACAATAGCAGGTAAATCAATGGAAGGCAACAACCTCACATTATAACAAATATGAAAAAATCAAACTTCAGTACATTAGAAGAAAAATATGTGAGGCATTAGAGGATTACATCGAAAACAGCACAGGACATGAAATTAAAACCAAACAAAGATTCGAAAAACTGAAAATGAATTCAGCTATCTTGCTATAGCAGAAAAAGCTTTTGCCAACAGGTAAGATCCAGCTTAAGAACCCATAAATGACATAGAAGAAACCTTTGGAATCAAATAAACAACTACAACTCTTTTTTAGTTGTATTTGTTTAAAATTTTACTGTTTTGGTATTCTCTATCTATTCTCATGGATTTCCAGCTGAAATTGTATGAGTGTGTGAATGAGTGAGGAAAAAAGAGTGAGGAAGCAAGTGAATCAGTGTGTGTGTTGAAATAAACCAAATCGTGAGAATGGAGTGTTCTTTCCCTAAAAAATGTTGAATGAGAGTGTGTGAATTTCTGAAAAGTGCAGAGATCAACCAGTTCCCTAATGTGAGAGTATGTGTGGTCTTATATAGAATATAGGAGTGTGCTCTTATGAAAGAAAAATGAGAGAGGAATGTAGAAGATTCTGTCAGCTAAAAAAATAGGAGATAATGCATCTTTTTAACCGAAAATGGACAGCTGTGCTTCAGCTAATATTTTTCTATTTTCCCACCACTTTCAACTTCTATTTATTACTCTCAACACCAAACACCTGGCCATTTTAATTTCTTTCTTGGAAAATTAGTCCTTCCCCTTCTAGAAGCTTCCTAATTGAGCTGCCCAACATATTAGGACTGGGTTAACGAGTCCCATTGACATGGATTCAACCTACCGCCTTCCCACTTTAACAAACCAAACAAAATTTCAATTCTTCCAACTCATAAAACTTTTAAAATAATTAACAAATCTAAACCTTGCTCGTCTGAATTTAAAGGAACTGAGATAGATATGGAAAACAAATTACGAAATCCGATCAAATTCTTAATAAGAAAATGCATGCAACTAAATTACTTAAACATTCAAACCAGAACAAAATTCACATAGCCGAGTAAGCATAAACTAGCCAGTGATTCATTGAGGGAAGAAAGAAAAGAAAAGAAAAGAAAGAAAGAACAAGAAAAGGGAAAAGGAAAGTTATACCTATTGGACTGGAGACGAGGCGGCAAGGAGAATCCTCAAAAGAACTTGACCAGTCAAAATCAATCGACCAAAATACGAACCGTTGAGAAACGGATTAATTCTTACATCAATTTATAGCTCTTGTCAAGAGCTATCCGTCGTTGCAGGTTTCAACCGTACATGGCCGATTTTACCAAGAAAAAGAAACTTCAACTTTCCAAGGTTCTTAGATCCGCTATTTGTGAAACTCTACAGGTTTTTTTGAGGATTGGTTGATGGATTTGGAGAAAGGAAGGGCCGGGGATTATGGGGTGCAGAATTGGAGTCGTTTGGAGCTTGGCCGCCGGTGAGGGATTTTGGCGGCTAGGGTTTGATGAAGGGTGAGGGAGATGAGAGTGAAGTGAGAGAATTGGGTCTTTGGGAGGGGGGAGGGTTAGGTTTTCAGACAGATATATGGTATGGGGGTGGTTAGTTGCGAGCCGTAGGATCAGCGATTAACGGATGGGATTATTCGGAGGTAAAACGGGGTCGTTTGGTTAAAGAGGGAGCTGGACCGGGTTTTGGCACCGGGGCAGGCAGTTTTTGTGGATTTTGGGCATCTCAATGAATTGGCCCAAACAAAATTCAGCCTACTTTCTTCTTTCCTTTAATTTCAAAAACCTCCATTTATTTAAATACTCTTAATTCACAACTAATTTGTAAAATTAACTTAATAACATATTTTCTAATAATTAATTAAATTAAATTAGCTAATAATGTATGTAATGTTACTAATGTATTTTTGTAGTGATTTTCATGTATTAATTCTACGATCAATAAGTAAACAATTCTTAAAATGTAATTAGACCTAAAATGACATGGGATGAAGATTTAAAAGTTTTTATGGTATTTTCTATGACTTTAAGATAATAAATATGCTCAAAAATGCAACTAAATGCAAACAAACAATTAACCAGAAATTCCTAGAAATTCTATAAAATTAAAAACAATTAGAAAATTTATTCTTTTTGAATTTTGTAGGAGTATTTCGTATGGAAAAAATTACGTTCTCAACTGCCTCTTTTTGCTCGGAAACATGAAGAGTTTTCGGCCAAAGATAAAGTGAGTAATTATGAGTAATTTTTGCCCGCTTGACACTCCATGGGAAGCATTTTTAAGAAGTTTGACCGAACATTACTTCGGGGTTGCCTACATATCCTTGTCTATAAAGGAATCAGGTCAGTGTAGTTCTGAAAGTTTTGATAACTGGGACTACTGGAAAGTTGTGATTTCACTGTTGTTGTTGTTGTTGCTGCTCGCTGAACTCTTTATTACACCAAAATCAAAATGGAAAGAAACTAAGCAAACCTATCAGCTATGAGTTACAAAATTCTTATCTATAAGTCTTTTGAAGCTTGACTTTGAGTCTTGATTGGTTCTTCATGCAGACTCTGATTTGAACCTTGATGCTCGCTAGCAGCAAGTGCTAGTTCATTCTTTGATGGCTTTTTTTGATCGAAACGGGACATGCGATGCTTGTGACTCTAGTCATGTCTTGAGCAGTCTACTTATTTTCATCCACTTCTACATTTTGGATTCACTTCTTTTCTTTTTCTTTCTTTATTTTGGATTGAGACTTCTTCTTTTGGTCATCTCGAACCCCGTGCCTCGAGGTAAAACTTGCTCAAACACCAAACAAAGAAATTAACGAAATTTTTCTGCCCTAGTTTTCTCTAGAAAAATTTTGTGAGTTATTTCTAACAACTCTATACTACTTCATTATTGAAAGCAATAAAAGGACGGGATTGGTATACCCTGGGAAAATATGATTCTTTTGGAATGGTGTATCCTTCATTTAAGATCAACTCAACTAGGGAGTGGAGACCCTATGTATAAAATAAAATCAACTAGGGAGTGGATACCCTATGTAGGAAAAGATACTAGGGAGTGGAGACCCTATGTCTAAATATAAAATCAACAAGGGAGTGGATACCCTATGTTGGAAAAGAGACTAGGGAGTGGAGACCCTATGTCTTTAATAAAATCAACTAGGGAATAGAGACCCTATGTTGGAAAAAGAGACTAGGGAGTGGAGTCCCTACGTCTTAAATAAAATCAACGGGGAGTGTAGACCCTATGTTGGAAAAGAGACTAGGGAGTGGAGATCCTATGTCTAAAATAAAATCATCTAGGGAATGGAGACCCTATGTTGGAAAAGAGACTAGGGAGTGGAGACCCTATGTCTAAAATAACATTAACTGGGGAGTGGAGACCGTATGTTGGAAAAGAGATTAGGTAGTGGAGACCTTATGTTTAAAATAACATCAACTAGGGAGTGGAGAGCCTACGTTGGAAAAGAGACTAGGGAGTAGAGACCCTATGTCTAAAATAACATCAACTAGGGAGTGGATACCCTATGTTGGAAAAGGGACTAGGGAGTGGAGATCTTATGTCTAAAATAAAATCAACTAGGGAGTGGAGACCCTATGTTGGAAAAGGGACTAGGGAGTGGAGACCCTATGTCTAAAATAAAATCAACTAGGGAGTGGAGACCTTATGTTGGAAAATGCAACTAGGGCATGGTGTACCCTATAGTACCATGATTTTGAACTTTCTTCCTTTTTTTCTTCTTCCTTTTACTAAGAGAATGAGTAAAATTCGGGAAAGAATTTGGATAAGACTTCCCTTTTTGGAGTTGCTGCTGTTGTTGCAGCATAGCTATTTTTGTCTCCACGCGGTTTCTTTTTGGTCGCACCAGCTTCTTGCAAGGTTGCTTTGGATTGCACTTGTTTCCTATTTTTCAAACAAAGAACAATCGTTAGTTTGAAACGGTGGTTGGTTTTGCGGTCTTGAATGTTTCAGTCATTTGATCTTGGTCGGCTTCTATGATGATAATTTCACTTGCAACTGGTCATTCCATGAATACCGATTGTATTTCTGGCCCCAAAGAACCCTTGGCTTTTCTAACACTTTTACCATGATATCTGATCGCGTGGGACTTAACCATTTTCAACGTTGTTTTGCCTTTATAGGCATTTGACTTCTTTCTTCCAATTTTCAACTGCAGAGTGTTGGGGAATCCTTGGCTTTTCAAACCTTGCCAAGACGGTTAGTCGCGGGGGACTCAACCCTTTCAATTTCATTTCTCCCTTATAGGCACTTTAATTTGGATTTCCTTCTTTCGAGAGTTTTTTATTTCGAAGCATCAGCCACCATGGCAAGCCGGGGTCAACTTGATACCCCTGCCGAGGCTGGGTGCCTTTTTTTGCATACTAGCTTGTAGCAAACGAAAAACCTTGTAAATCAGTCTTGCCATTTCTTCTTTGCCTCAATTTTTGGAACAGGGTTATACCGAAAGAGATTCAAAGAAAAACAAACAATGGAATGGACAATGAATTTTGACAAGAGGTATCCCTTTCGGTAAAGGAAAGATGGACTTATCTGGAGTACATGTATACTTCAATGAACATGACATGCCTTTTGGACTAGATGCTTGATCTGTGTAAATCATCCGACTTTCAGAAATTCATCACAACTTTTGCCTCAAAACCGAGAACCCTTGACCAGGACTATGTCGGTGCCAATGGCTGTGAGGAACCTCTTTTCGATCAGTAGTGCCCTTTGCTGGTTTTCACCACCCGACCTCTCTTATTTGTCTTCTTACTATCGCCTTAAATTGCTCTTTGCGAGTTTTCACTAACAAGACTCTCATTTTAATTTTTCTACTTATTATCGCCTTATGGTGCCCGTGAGGGTTTTCATCAATAAGACTCTCTCATTTTATTTCTCTCGTTTAGTTGTATCAGATCCAAGTGACTGTACTCTCCAATTTCATAACGACCTGGCCGGTCGTTTTGAGAGTAATAGTCTCGATCCCCTATTAAATGATTTCCCCGTATCTATTTCAGCTTATATGACTTCCCGAGAGGTTTTATTTTAGTTTTTGGAGTGTTTTGGGACACTTAGTCCCTAAACAGAAGCTTAAGTCTTATGATTGACTGTAGTCAGAACTATGTGAAGACGACTTTGGAATGGAGTTTCGTCGATTACGTTAGCTTCGTTGGGTGATTTTGGACTTAGGGGCGTGTCCATATTGTATTTTAGAGGTCTGTAGCTGAATTAGGCTTGAAATGGCGAAAGTTGAATTTTTGGGAAATTTTGACCAGTTGTGAACTTTTTGATATCAGGGTCGGAATCCAATTCCGGAAGTTGGAGTAGGTCCATAATTTTGAATATGACTTGTGTGAAAAAGTTGGGGTCAATCGGACGTGATTTGATAGGTTTCGGCATCGGTTACGGAAATTTGAAGTTTCAAGTTCTTTAAGTTTGAATTGGAGGGTGATTCGTGATTCTAGTGTTGTTTGATGTGATTTGAGGGCTCAACTAAACTTGTATGGTGTTTTAGGACTGGTAGGTATGTTTGGTTGAGGTCCCGGGGGCCTCGGGTGGATTCCCGGTGGTTAACGGACTATTTTTAGACTTGAAAGATTGCAGAAATTGTTGGTGTTCAGTTGCTGGTTTTCTCTTATGCGATCGCGTAAGAGGAGATGCGATCGCATAGGCTTGTTTTATTACAGTGGCTTTTTACCCTGTGCGTTCGCGAGTTAGGGGATGCGACCGTGTATGTTGGTCACGCTGTGCATCGCGAACGCATGGGCTAGGCCGCGTTCGCGAAGAGGAATTGAAGCAGCAGTGGAGTTCACGTATTGTTCATTGCAGTTGCATGAGGACACACGCGATCGCGTAGGTGTGAGTAGACAGTGGTTCACGATCGCGTGTTAGACGACGCGCTCACGTAGCATATTTTTAAACAATTGGAATTTTGTTCTACGCGATCGCATGAGACATTCCACGATCGCGTAGTGTGTGCACCTGGGCAGAATATATACTTTTCAAAAATGAGGGTTAGCCATTTTTATCAAGACTTGAGTTTGGGAGCTCGGATTTGGGCGAGATTTTGAGGGATTTTCAGAGACATAAATCGAGTAATGATTCTACACTTAATTTTGGTTATATCCCACTAATCTATCATTAATTTCATCATTTAAATTCGAATTTGGGTTGAAAATTTGGGGAAAATGGGAAGAAGTTCTTCAACTAAGATTTTTGGGTTTTGATTGAGATTTTGACATCGGATTTGGATAATTTTGGTATGAGTGAACTCATGAGTTAATGGGTGTTCATATTTTATTACTTTTATCCGATTCCACGACGTGGGCCCGGGTTGACTTTTTGGGGCAATTTTCTAATTTCCTGCTAAAGTCTTGATTTTATTAGTTAGATTAGTTTTTTATAGTTATATTTGTGATATGAAATTGCTTTTGGCTAGATTTGGGCCATTCGGAGTCGGATATTCATGGAAAAGGCATTGTTATCGAGTGATTGAGCTTGATTTAAGGTAAGTGGCTTGCCCAACCTTGTGTGGGGGAACTCCCCTTAGG